ACGTTATATATTTGTGGAAATGCCTCTCTAGTAGACAGATTTTAAAGTCGTGAGGCTAACGGCGATGCATAATGAACTAAAAAATGTTAATATCTACTAACAATGAATTTAAGTTGTTACACATAGAACGGTCAAATCAACGTCGAATGGGTTTGAGGCAATTTCCATTGGTGAAAATTGAAGTTAGAAGAAACCAGCAATTGAGCAATTTTTCTTTAGAGAAATCACTCCTTGGATAACGTCCAAGAGTTCTACGGAAGTGATTTTGGAAGATCGAAGCTCAACCTTGTCTCGGGAGACCTAATATTTTATTTTAATTTTTGAAATTCAAAAACGATTATCTTTCCATCTTATAATTTTCTTTTGGTTAATTACAAAATCTCTAAACTTCTTAGTTTGTATCTAATCGTTTCTAAGCTTATATGAACTTTCAACTTGCACAAAATAGATTGCTGCATATTTATATGTATATTTTTTTAAAAAATAAACTTATATATAATCGGTAAGAGCGGCACAGCTGGCAATAAATGAGGAGAGAGAAATGCCAGCTGTACTACTCTTTTAGAAACGAGGCAAGCTGGCAAGAAGTACTAACCACTAGTGAGTTAGTATAGGAACGAGGCCGTCTTCCTTAACTTGAAGCAAGGAAATAAGATTGTCGAGGAGTATGATAGGGAACTGACCCGATTGTCCCGATTTGCACTAGATCAGGTTGATACGAAGGAAAAACGAATACGGAGATTTATTGCAGGTCTTCGAGAGGAAATCCAAGGAACGGTGGGGGAAATAACACCTACTACATATGCTACCACCTTAAATGTTGCAACCATGATGGACGTTCAACTCCAAAAGATGCTCAGGAGGGTTGGGAATCAGAGGAATCTCTTGGGTAAGCAAGAATGTAACGAGAATCCTGACAGAGCGTCGCGACCCGAGAATAGGGGAAGCTCACATAGGCCACCTCCAGCAGAGAGGCAGCGGGGCGTTAGAATTGAGGCCCCTAGATTTGAGAGGCCCACTTGCCCCATTTGTGGCACTAGACATACAGGGGAGTGTAGGGCAGGTTCTAATGCATGTTTTCATTGCGGTAAGAGCGACCATAAGCAAGTTGATTGCCCTCATAGGAGGCGTCAAGAAGAGAATAGAGCGTCAGGGTCAGGCCAAGGGGGCATGGCACAGAACTGTGGTACTGCTAGGGCAACTATCGAGAAAGGAGCAAATAACATGGACACCGTGGTGATAGGTACCTTACAAGTACTTGGTTTTCATGCTTTTGTATTGTTTGACTCTGGGTCCACACATTCGTTCATATCTAGTACCTTCGTAAGATACGCATTATTAGGACTAAAGCCCTTAGGATACCGATTGTCGGTGTCTACATCGTCGGGGGAAATTTTAGTAACGGATGAGAAAGTGCGAGCAAGTCAAATAGTAATAGCAGGGCGACCTTTGGAGGTGATGTTAATTGTTCTTAACGTGAGTGATTTCGGCGTGATTCTTGGTATGGACTGGCTGGCCGAGAACCACGCAATTATCAATTGCAGGGCTAGAGAAGTAATCTTTAGGCCACCTAACGGACAGAGCTTTAAGTTTAAGGGGGTAGATTCTCAAAACACCCCAGGATTATCACTACTTTAAAAGTAAGAAAGTTAGTTGGTCAAGGAGCTTGGGCCTGGTTGGCGAGCGTATCAGACATGCGGCGGGGTACTAGCAGTGTGATGAATGTGCCTGTCGTACGGGAGTTTGAGGAAGTGTTTCTAGAAGAGCTGTCGGGGTTACCGCCAGTTAGGGACAAGGACTTCGCAATTGAGCTAGAGCCAGGTTCCACCCCAATATCCAAAGCACCATACAGGATGGCTCCTGCCGTGTTGAAAGAACTTAAGGAGTAGTTGCAAGATCTATTGGATCGAGGTTTTGTCAGACCAAGTGTGTCGCCATGGGGGGCCTCGATACTGTTTGTCAAGAAGAAAGACGAGACCCTAAGGTTGTGCATTGATTACAGAGCATTGAATAACAATAAAAAATAAATACCCATTGCCTCGCATTGATGATCTGTTTGACCAACTACAAGGTGCGTCAGTATTTTCGAAGATCGACCTGCGATCAGGGTACCACCAGTTGAGGATCAAAGAAGGCGACATCCCCAAGACGGCGTTCAGGAGTCGATATGGTCATTATGAGTTCACCGTGATGTCTTTTGGCTTGACGATCGCCCCAGCGGTGTTCATGAACCTTATGAATAGGGTGTTTAAAGACTTCCTAGATATGTTTGTCATAGTATTCATTGATGACATATTAGTATACTCCAAGACCGACGGCGAGCACGAAGCGCATTTACGGCAAGTACTGTCAAGGCTAAGGGCACATTGACTTTATGCCAAATTTTCTAAGTGTGAAGTCTGGTTACAAGAAGTGACCTTCTTGGGGCATGTTGTGTCCAGAAAGGGCATATCAATGGATCCAACCAAAGTCGAGGCAATTATAGATTGTCCTCGACCTACCTCATCAACTGAAGTGAGGAGCTTCTTAGGTCTAGTTGGATACTATAGAAGATTTATTCAGGATTTCTTCAAAATAGCTGCCAGCCTCACACAACTAACGAGGAAAGGAAAGACGTTCTCGTGGGATGGTGCATGTGAGAAAAGTTTCAAGGAACTCAAGCACCGACTGGTTACAGCGCAGGTACTTGCAGTACCAGATAGCTCAGGCAATTTGTGGTCTATAGGGATTGAATGAGGGAAAGATCTAGGTTGTGTCCTGATGCAGAATGACAAAGTCATAGCCTATGCTTCGAGACAGTTAAATGATTATGAGAGAAACTACCTGACGCATTACCTAAAGTTAGCTACCGTAGTGTTTTCTTTGAAGATATGACGACACTACCTGTATGGCGAGTGTATACAGATTTTCACCGATCACAAGAGCCTGAAATACTTATTCACTCAAAAGGAACTCAACATGAGACAAAGGCGCTGGTTGGAGTTAGTCAAGGACTATAACCTTGAAATTATGTATCACCCAGGTAAAGCTAACGTTGTAGCTGACGATTTAAGTAGGAAGACCGCTCACTCTTCGGCATTAATTACAAGGGAGTATACTTTGCAGGAGGACATGGAAAAAGCTGGAATAGAAGTATTGGCAAGAGGCACCATAGGAAGATTGAGTCAACTTAGGGTCCAGCAAGATCTGAGGCAGCGAATCATAAATGTTCAGAGCAACGACCCTCGCTTGTACTTGATTTGCCAACAGAATGAGGCATTGAGGGAGGAAGGATTTACCATGTCTTCCAAAGGAGGATTACTATGGCAGGGACGACTATGTGTCCCCGTAGATGAGCGGATCAAAGAAGACCTCCTGACTGAAGCACATGAATCTTTGTATTCAGTGCATCCTAGTAGTACCAAGATGTATCGTGACCTGAAGAAGTGTTATTGGTGGCCAGGGATGAAGCGGGATGTTGCCCTCAAAGTTAGTAGGTGTCTCACTTGTCAACAGGTGAAGGCCCCTAGACAGAGACCCTCAGGCTTACTACAACCCTTAGACATTCCACAGTGGAAGTGGGAGGATATTGCCATGGATTTTGTAACCGGATTACCTAAGACCTCGAAGGGATACACGATTATTTGGGTGATTATTCATAGACTGACGAAATCCGCCCACTTCATCCCCCATAAAGCTACTTACACAGGGGATAAATGGGCAAAGCTATATTTGGAATAAATTGTCAGATTTCATGGGATTTCGGTCTCAATTGTGTCAGATAGAGATTCACGTTTTACCTCCCACTTTTGGAAAAGTTTGCAAAAAGCAATGGAGACCCAACTCAGATTTAGTACAGCGTTCCACCCCTAGACTGACGGCCAAACCGAAAGGCTGAACCAGGTCCTATAAGACATGTTGCGAGCATGCGTGATTGACTTCGCTTGTGGTTGGGACGAATACTTACACCTTATAGAATTTGCATATAATAATAATTACCAGGCGACCATACAGGTGGCACCTTTTGAGGCCTTGTACAGGCGAAGGTGTTGGTCTCCAATTTTCTGGGAAGAAGTGGGAAGGCGACAATTATTAAGGCCAGAGTTAGTCCAACAAACGAATGCAACCGTGCAAAAGATCAGAGTACGAATTCAGACTGCACAAAGCCGACAAAAGAGTTATACAGACACGAGACGTAAGGCTCTAGAATTTACTGTTGGCGATCACATCTTCCTAAAAGTAGCACCCATGAGGAGGGTGATAAGGTTCGGAAAGAAGGGCAAACTGAGCCCAAGGTTTATCGGTCCTTTCGACGTCCTGGAGAAAGTTGGTCCTGTGGCGTACCGACTAGCCTTGCCTCCTGCTTTAGCTGTTGTTCACAACGTGTTCCACGTGTCTATGTTGCGTAAGTACACCCCAGATCCTTCTCATGTGATTGAGTATGCAAATCTTCCTTTGAGGAAGGATTTAAGTTACGAGGAGGAGCCCATCAGGATTGTAGACACGAAATACATAAGCTTAGAAATAAATAGATATCGTTTGTCAAGGCGGTATGGAATAACCATCGCGTTGAGGAAGAAACCTGGGAGCTAGAGAGCGAGATGAGGGCCAAGTACCCCGTGTTGTTCAGGGATTTAAAAACTTTCGGGGATGAAAGTTTTTAAGGGGGGAAGATTGTAAGAGCCGTACAACTGGCAATAAGTGAGGAGAGAGAAATGCTAGCTGTACTACTCTTTTAGAGTTAAAAAAAAAAAGTTGTGGGGGGAGAAAAGAGAAAAGAGAAAAGAAGAAAGAAGAAAGAAAAAAAAAAAAAAAAAAAAAAA